TCCGTAGTCGAAATTGGTTACTAGCAAATACTTGGTACAACCATTTTTATGAGCTATTCTGAGCTGCGTCGTCAAAGGAGAACCATAAAATGATTTCAACTGGTTTTCAAGAAACAACCATCGTACAATGATGAGAAACATTTCCGACTTTTTACTGTAGAAAATATTATCACCAGGAAGTTCAAAAATGATAAATACTATGAAATTTTACACTTTACACAGTAATACGTTTAACGTTCTAAAATCAGCGATCAGAACACTTTTACTCTACTACCATTTCACAGAGGGTTCATGTGATCACCATGTTGACTCCTGAACAAGAAAATTTAGTACGAATATTATGTTACTGGATTCCACTCGAAACGCAAAAATTTTAATTTCCAAACATCTGAAATGGCGATATGAGGGAGTGCGAATTTCTGAGTTGGAGCGACATCAGCTCCACTTAATTTAGTATCCTTAAAATAGTGCATCTCATCTTCGAAATTACAACTTTCGTCACATACATTTGCTTTTCGTTTCTTTTAAACGTAAATCAACATGGCAGCGATGCGAATTGTTTATAGCGTGTAGTATGCAGTTCGACAACGGCAAATTTTCATTACTGTAACTAAGCATGGAAATTTGGAATGCAGATAAGTCAATTAAACCAAGAACAACTGAATACTGCCTTTGTAAAAACAATGTAATGGAGTACAGTCACGTGCAGAGAAAAAAGGTGTGGAAGATGGAATAGGATGAAGGACATCGACGAGTTTGCTCGTACGTATAACCAAAGAAGGTTACCAGTTCGAACACCAGTTGTGGTATTCAATAAAGGGCAGATGGTTTCAAGAAGGAGTGAGTAATGGTCGTTCTGCAGGACTGCATAACAGAAATATTCGAAAGCGCCGAACATTCACCAATCACCCTATGTGTGTATACTATACATATATAGCGGTAATCTACAACATGAAGATAAATTGTATATTTCTTGTTTTCAGACTGCAATAAATCACCCTGAATGACAAAAAGGCTTAATTATTTAAGAGTGTAACGGCAAAGAATTCTTCCAGAGTCTAGCTCACCGAACACAAACATTTACAACAATCTCGTAAAATTAAGATTACTTTCTTGTTTCATTTATCAACACCATATCAAGTACGGAACATGATTCCACTGGCAGGGCGACCAACTATGAGCAAGAAAGGAAGGGACTTGATCGCTTGGTATTTGTCCAGGAGACCAACCGGAAAGCACAAAACCCTTTAAATACAGAACATTGCGATCTGAAAGAAAAAGGTGTGAAATGTTTGACTGACAGCAGCGTTGATAATGTTCGCTGGTCTCGATTCATGACTATACATATTATTCCATTCCTTGGATCCAGATCCGTAAGTTAGTCAAATGACAATACACGTGGAAGAAGTCATAAAAAATACAATATATATATATATATATAGAGAGAGAGAGAGAGAGAGAGAGAGAGACAGACAGACAGACAGACATGATAGCTATCAATACAAGAACTGGGCCACAGACTGCATAACTGGTATTCGGAAAAAAAACCACTCAATATCAAATTAAGTTAGTGTACGCAAGATTTCAAAACAATACGCTGATTTGTAGTGTTCTTTACAGGAATATGAGAACATAATATTTAATAATACGAAGAAGACGTAGACTGGATGCATCTAACTCAGTGGCATGCTCCTGTGAGCCTTGGGTTCCATTAAGTCAAGGATTTATTGACTACTTAAGCGACTCTTAGCTTCTCAAGGACCTAGCATTAACTAATCAAACACCATTATATTACGTTGTTTTTCATGGTAGTGCATTCACAATATAACTTTTTTCACTTTAGTGTGAAGCATTTATCTGCTTCAAGACTAACTAAAAACGCAATTGACGTAAGAGAAATATGTTTTACTCATCACTTAAAACAGCGAAACATGAAGACGTCATATGTCTTGACGAGCTAAACGATTATTAGCTTTTAAAGAAGGACTGACTGTGTTCCATGCAGTTGAACTACACAAAACTGAAAAACGACTACGGAATTTGTAGATGGCCAAGATGTATTAAAGTTAAAGATTTCGTTTCACGACAGTGAAGAAGACGTTACAACATCCCGAAAAAGAAAAAGAAATACGATGCGATTTTCTCTTAGGACACGGCAATCTCCTGCCCTCCGACAGAAATCACGAGCGGTATGGTCTGTTCAGGATACGAATGGAGAAGTCAGCAACATTGGCCTCCAACGGCACGGTTATAATGAACACAGTGCACTGTCAGTAGAAATACCGAATACATTAGACCAGTGGTATTCAACCTGGGGTACGCGAAGACATTTTTGGGGGTACGTGAAATTTAAAAAAAAATATTATTTTATGATAAACACTGAATAATCAGTAATGTAATTTATTTAATTTATTTTAAATGTAATTATATACTATGTATAACTTGAATTATACACCAACAACTTTGGGGGTACAAAGTTGAAGAGAAATTATATCTGGGGGTACGTGAATTTTTTAAAAAAATATTATTTTATGATAAACACTGAATAATCAGTAATGTAATTTATTTAATTTATTTTAAATGTAACTATATACTATGTATAACTTGAATTATACACCAACAACTTTGTGGGTACAAAGTTGAAGAGAAATTATATCTGGGGGTACGCGAACAAAAAATGGCCCAATACCACTGGATTAGACCACAGACGACTATCAGCTTCTCAATAAAGGCTATGTTCCGCGTCGCTGGACAATTATAACAGAACTGCACGCATAACAATAATATCCACGAGATGCTTAAATTTTATCTTTAGAGAAGGGGGAATTACCACAATGGATTTGTGTGGTTACCTTCGTAACAGCACATGGGAGTCCGATTTGACAGCCACTATAAAAACAGTCACGTAAGGTTAACGATACTCAACAGGGGTTAATTCTGTGTGTGTGTGTGGCCGCGGGAGGGGGGAGACGGTATACGTCGAGTTCCCCGAATTTCAATCCAGCGGTCTTTACTACGAATTGTGAACAGCATAACCGTGCTCAGCATTGTATATACCATCACTTCCTGCTATCAACGACACCTATCAATACAACATCCCACATTTTTTCTTGCCTTTAAATTCAAGGTTTTTTTATGGCCGATAGTTTAAAAACGTTCAGGGGTGTACTGAAACAATACCGATATCATGTCGTAAGTCGTAATACTTGAAAGCTATCACTATTTACTGTTCACCCATGAACTTGCTTCTTAATTCTGAAGGTTGCTTCTATATAATAGACGAAAATAACATTTGAACATGATGATTATAACTGATGAGGAGAATGTCTGGTTCAATCCCCAGAATAAACAGATTTCTCCCTTCGTCACCAACGTTTCCGAACCCGCTCTGGGCAACGGGAATAAAGCCGCCGAGGCGTGAACCTGACAACTTTCCTCCATCTAGTGGCGAGGTTAAGAATGGGCGGAGTTTTAACCTCCGCCCCTCATACATCTTAAGCACACGAACATTTTTACCGAAAGAATCCGTGATGGACTCATTCATACGCCATGCTCAAAGCTGTTCACAGTAAAATAAGATGATTACATCACCATAATAAAAGCTTACAAACTTTCAATAGCATCGTTAAACGATGAAATTTCACGAAAGTTTAGAATTTTCATTTGAACAAGGAGCAAAATTAAGTGGTCTATCTTAAAATTTCATTCGATTGTACAAGGGACTTTTCCACATTAGACAACGATCAGACATGTTAATTTGATTTGTAATAACAGACGTAAATATGCGAGTTACAAATCTGATAAGCAGTGATTAATTTAGTGAGATTTACCGAGAATATACAAACACTGACTATATTAGAAGAGACACAACGTCATTCATAAATATAACTTTAGTAAAAACTGATAAAAAGATCATTTGCAATTATTTGGTACAATAAGGACAAATAAACTTACCCCAACAATTGTAACACTTAATAAAGAACTATCTTGATGATACCTCAGATCCCAATGTGTACGAGAAAAGTTAAACTTTTCCTTACGAGGTATACAAGTAAGAAAGAAATATAAAATTCCGACAACAATTAGCGATCCTAGTGGATGAATCTGAAACAAGAGGAAGTTTCAAATAAATGAGTGTTTAATATTCGGCAATCGATAATAACCATCACAAGGCTGCCTCAGATGCGCAACATATATGACGCCACTGCGCAACACCTTCTGCGCAGATGCCCCACTAACCTAACCTTACCTAACCCAACTCAACCAAATCCGACCATTCCGGCGCAGGCCAACATGGTGTCCTGCACACGAATTTCATGAAATGAGAAAATATGGTCAGAATTAACTGAAAATTTGTGTGCACGTCATGCCACAGGTAAGTTAATGAAATACATATATTTTTATTTTCTAATATTTTTAATAAAGTCGGAGGAACACATCAAAGTCGCGAGGTGGAAGACTTGTGAAATCCGCCTCGACCAAAACGAATGCTATATTAGATGACGTAATTATGCATACTGAATTTTTCCGTGTGTCCTATGCTGTGCCTATACGTGTCCAAATATACCTGGACACAATTAAATTTACAAAATGAACGTAGAGGAAATTTTATGGCAAGCAAACAGATAGTAAAATTTCTTACGCAATAATGTTGCAGCTTTGTACGGGCACGGGATTCATAATACGTGAATACAGACGTTACGAATGATTCGAAATTATTTTAAATAAATCATATTATGTCGTATTCCAATTTATTTTTCTATGGAAAATCAACAAAAGAAATTTGTTATAAATTCTCACGTTAGTAAATTGCAATTGCAATATTGCGTACAGATGGCACTCGTACCACATTCACATTCATAATATAATCCCGAGATGGCGCTGGGATTCAAATACACAAATCAATACCCCTGCTACATAGCAGTTTAAGGATACGCAGAACGGACACGATGGCGCACTCTGTCGGTAGGGAACTGAAATCAATTTTCCGTAGTTGGACAGCGATTACAGGCATACCTCTTCATAGACTCATGAGATGAACGCCGCGGGTTGAGAGGGAAGATGTCGGTATCGATTTTGTCGTAGAGCTGTCAGTGTTGGCGGTTGAAACATTTAAAGTGAATCTGGCTCGAAAACATGCATTTACGGTTGAACCATATTAACGGAGATTGGTGTTTAAAAATCGTTGTTCAACGGGATATTTGACATTAATAACTTGCATTAAAGACGAAATTATTGTTCTTCGATCAGACAAACTGGGTGTTAGATGTGTTTATAGTGACGTAAGGAAAATGGGGTCGACGTTTACATTCCTCCTAGGGTATGATATATCTGGACACAACTAATATTACAAAATGAAGATAGAAGAAATTTGATGGCAAATAAAAGTAATACTAAAACTGTTGATTCACAATTTTGGTCATGATGACAGGTAACAGAATTATCTCATGTTTGTCCATAGTTTTAGTATCCCTTTAGAACCTTGGGAGTGAGAGGGAGGAGAAGATAAGAAGGATAGCAGGAGAGTTGAATTTGCAAAGAGGAAATTTTGAGTTGTGTATTACAAAATTCTGATGTTATTAATTTGGAATGTTAGTGCATAATTTAGCGACTTCAGCTGGGAGGGGTAAATTTTGATGAATTTAAATCGGGAGAGCTTCATGAAAAGCATGCAGTGGCAACTTCGAACTTGGGAACCATCTAAGGATTTGCTTGAAGACAGAGGAAAACTCATGTCGAGATGGCCAATTTTAAAACCGAGAATCGTCTATTTCATTTAAAAGAATTCAGTACGTACCGCCAAGAAAACACGTGTTTACCACTGCAACGATTAATTGCTTAATGCTGTTTAAGGAAGTAAACGCTGTTTACGGAGAGACTGACTGTTAATGCAGGTGACATCACTGCTCTTTAATGGTAATGATCCATCGACAGGTTCCAAGTGGTTAATTGTACTCCATTAAGTTTTTACCGATGATACACCGAAAGGTGCGTAGTAGTTCTAAAAGGTTTGAATTTAAACTTGACAATTTCTGCATAGTGCCTTTTATTTAGCACTTAATATCTTACTTTTAAAACAACAAAGACCATCAAGCACAAATATTTGATATTTATTCCACATTACTGTGTATGTGAACTGATTCATCAATATAATGAGCATGATTTCTAGATGAACTATATTTAAGTCACTGTATACATGCTGCACAGACGAGCTTCATATGGGGCCACATTCAGAAGTTTTGGTTCAAAAAATGGTCAACATTTAAGAAGTTATGTACGACACTTGGAAAGTTATTTTCAACCGCTGGCAGGAAAAGTCGATAAACTTGCCCATTTTTCATAGGTCGGTAACGACAATACAGAAACACACTAAGAACAAACAATTAGAACGTGAATGATTATTGTTCTGCTTCATAAAAACTAGTGGACCATACTTTGTTAAATTTTCTGAATCTCGTATGTCGTGGGAAATGGTGCATGTACAGATGTTAAGAGTTTCTCAGTTGGTCAAGAAATTCCATAATTTTATTTGACCCATACTGAGCATTTTGAATTGTCAACTTCACACCACATATAAGAAACATTTCAATATTATCCTCCAATTTATGACTGCGTTTTTCAGGTAGTTTCTTCCTTTCAGATTTTCTGACTACAATATTTTGTGAATTTCCTATTTCCCTTGATGCGTGCTACATCTAGATCTCATTATCTTTGATGTAATGACCCCAATTATATTTGTTGACAAGTACAAAGTGTGAAACTCATCACACATTCACTTATTTTATCTTTCCATTACCTCTCCTCTTTCAGGTTCAAATGTGAGAGGTTAAGAAAAACCCATTGCACAGATGATGGAGGTGACAAAGACCTCTGAAATGTTAGTAAACTTCTATCAGACAACACAGTGCTAAAGCCCTGAAGACAACTATCTTTAAGAGGACATTAAATAAAATGTCCCAGTAGATAAAAATGTTAGTGTGTGTATATTAACACTCCAGTAAACAATTTAAGTTGTTAATTGAACCTGCGGCATACTGTTTCTTCTATGAAACAATAAAACTTTCAGCCTACAGTTGGAAACAGCCAGCTGTGAAATATTGGCTACGGATTCTGCAGATGAGCAAGCAACAATTTTAACCCCTGAGGATGCTATGAATGGCACATAACCAACTTAAATTTTGAGAGCTGGGCAAAGAAACTGAGTGCAGAATTAGACAAAATAGGGCTGGGACGTACTCGGCAACACCCGCAGGAGAATGGTGTGAGTATGACATGTAATGAAATTAAAGAATTATGGAACGATAGAATTTTTTTGCAGATATAAGAGAAAAGAGGTCATTAATATCTTATTGTGATATGAAAATGGAGTGGGCTATGGTAGAATATATACATTCTGTTATACAAGAAATGAGAGAAGTGGGAGCACACAGTTTCAGACTGATACCTGGAAGCTGAGAGGGATGAGCAAAGAATGTGACAAAGGGAGATCTCTCTGGGTAACAAGGAAGCTAATGTCATAAATATACCATTCAAATTTTCAGAAGTGTAAGGAATTTCTTTTATAAAATAGCTTATTATTAATGAAGAGGTGGTTTATAAGAGATTCATAAATGGTAGATTTAAGAAATATAGAAAAATACCAGTATACAACCACATGTAAATGGGAGGATAAATTTAACAATATATAATGGGAAATAGGGTTTCCACCTGACATGACACTAGCCAGCTACGTTACAAGTCTGAAACATAACCTTTATAAGACAGACTGATCGTTCAATATTTAAAATCTTGCATTAACAAACCATGTAGCCTATAAATATCTATTAAAAATAGGAAACCCGAAGAGAATAAAATATTACTAAGTATTGTGTTAATTTTATTCTACTTTATCCATCAAACAGATGTTACTAAAAACCAAATTTTTCAGAAGATGGTTCTACTTCTGCCTTCAGATGAGAGGACAAAAGCTTAAACCCTGAAAATTGAAGAAGAACCAACTTCTGAAATGTTGTGGATTCTAATAATACCCAGATAATGCATAAAGCAAAAGAGTGTGCCACCATCACCAGAGGCCTTCAAATTTTGGTTAATATTATATATTAAAAAGAAAAAAATGTACCTCTCTATCTTGGCTATTACACCTGATTAATGATGTGGGGCCTAGAGGAGACTGTTTCCAAATGATCTCCTAACACACACCTATGTTTCCCAGTGGCACACCCTAGTAACTATGGTGACCCACAAAAGGCTTTAAAAATGTAATTCTAAAATGACTGCTACATATCTAAAGGCATATGGGCAGCCGCCTCACGACTCGACTACCAGTGATCAGGTGGTGAACAATAATGAAGACAATTACTCCAATGGATACACAAACTGATCATCAAATTGAAACATGGATGAAAAGATTTCAATTTGTAACCTCAGAACACATGAAGACGAACAAGAAATGTCACTCACTGAAAATTTACTCTCTTTTTATTTTACTTCAGAGACGATCATAGTTACATGACCTATATTTTAGTCACCAAAAACAGAAGTTTCATTCAGTTTCTAGCAAATAGTCCTGCAAACACTGTATCTTTTCCAGTTATTGGTTCCTCACCACTTCCCTTGCACACTCCACTGCAGGAAAAAGGTGGAGTATTTGCTTTATGGGGTACCTGCTTTCTAGGGAGTACTACAAACTGAAGTTCCCATTGATAAAACTAATTCACTCTGGTTATACTGACAATCCTAATGTGACTACTCAGAAAATTAAATAATTCAATAATTTTATAAGATAATATGTCAACTGTCTTTTCAGTACCATCTAGATAAACTATTAAATACCTTAATTAGCAATAATTTTCTACTCATCTGAATATGTATTACAAATGCTGAACTTAAATAACTTACATGCCAGTGGATTTAATGTCATAACCCCATTCAAGTACAGAATTTTGGGAATCATACTGTGTACTAATTAAATTTTTTAAGGTAATCAAGTATGACCAGTCTTTGCAAGATCACTAAAATATCATGGTACTACCAAAATCACTAACATTCAGGATATGTTTAAACAGTAAAAATAGAATTTTTTAATATGATGTCATTTACAGATATAGGCTAGATGACCAGATTTTAATACTGGCAAGGCAGGGTTTTTCTCTATGCCACAACATTCACACTGGCTCTGGGGCCTACCAACTTCCTGTCCAAAGGGTAACACAGTTCTATCCTTAGAATACAGAAGCTGAGGAACGAAGATCACCACTTACTTTCATCATGTGCTGAGGTTAAGAAGCTATAATCAACTTCCCCATTGGCGAGTGCACTACAAAGGACCAGATTTGTTACGCAACAGCCCTGAGGATGAGAGCAGAGATTGCTGTTGAAAAGTTGGCAGACGATATGGTTTATTCACCATTCAGCCACCTGATGCGGCTTGTAACGCAAGAGTCTTTCATCAACTTCCCCCATATGTCTGCATAGTGCAGTGTAAAATTAAGTTGCTTTTATGCATGACTACAGATGTTAACTTTATATATGCAATACAGTTTGCATCCTGTCGATCAGAAAATGTCAAGTCTTTAAAAAGGAATGTCTGGTAAGATTTCACTTCAAGTCTCTATTCTGTACTTTTGCTAGCAACAAACCTGGCAGTTTTGTATAGTTACTAGTGAATGTTTCTTTGTTTAAAATTAAACTGTTTATGGAAACTGAAGATGGCTATCTTCTGGGTTGTTGCGCCGTGTAGTATGGTAGAAGTTTAACGATGTTTCAGAGGTCCTTTCTGCCTGCAGCCAAGACGACGGTCTCCAGACTCACCGCCGTGAAAACCTCAAATCCTGAACGTTTTGGAAACATTTAGTGCAGATTCCAATACAATATTTCATGGGAAAACAAAGTTAAACAAGAATGCCGTCGGTCACTCCCGAATACATTTCAGATTGACAAGCAGGATTTGAGGTTTTCACGGCGGTGGGTCCGAAGTTGGCTGTCTTCTGGGTTATTGCGCCATGTTGTCTGGTAGAAGTTTACCAATGTTTCAGAGGTCCTTGCTGGCTCCATCATCAGGGCGATGACTTACTCATGATGGACGCAGCAAGGACCTCTGAAACATTGGTAAACTTCTACCAGACAACATGGCGCAATAACCCAGAAGACAGCCATCTTCGAGCTTGACAAGGCCTCTCCATCGGCCATTATGCATTCATTTTACGCACTTTCTGGAAAGAACTCATAGGAACCATCGGTCAGTACAACTGAAACTAGGCATTTTAAAACAATATTTTTTGTAGCTTACCACTTTAAAACTGGTTCACTTCAACTTGGCTACGTAGCAGGATCCACATTCACATCCGACTGTGTAACACGTTCCACATAGAAGTTATTCAAGCCTCGGCATAAGAAGCATTAAAAATGTATTTCTCACACAAATCCACTATTCGAAAGCCGGTAGGTCGAAAACACACTCTTGTTTTTCGATTTATAAAATACCAATCAAACGATAAACGTATTCCACGAACTCTTCTTAAAGGAAAAAGTAAAACACCAAATGACACCACCACCAAAATTAAATTCACGCATTTCCATATCACTACGCCTACACTGAACCAAGCACACCTCAATAAACAAATAAAGTGAAACAACAGCAAAATGTGAATCTGCTGCCGATATCAATGTGATTATTCAGTACTGCTGAGGAATACAGAAATTTACCTCGTTGTAACGAATAATTTTTTATTCATGTTCGAAACATAAATAATACCTATCACTTGATTTGCTCCTCGGGAGAGGTTGTATGAAACATAAACAGTAAACATGTGGAATCGAATAATAAGAAAAGCAAAAAGTATATTCCGCAATGGAATAGACATAATACCCTCATGCGTTCTTTGAAACGTACACTTCGCGGTATTACGGCCGTTTGATAGTTCTCACTTTGTCAACCAGGTCGCAGCACCTCTAACTCCAGGTCTTGTTCTCATCCATTTTACCAACGTTCGTAGAATATTCAAATGTACGATTTTAAGGTCACACAGAATAGCGCAACCTCCACATCAAACTTTATCCAAATCCGTCAAATGTTTAATAAACTGTACAGACGGACGTTCATGGCCAGTCCATAATACATTTTTGCTATGGCCTTTCTTTCAAAGAACGCATAATAACGTAATAAATTAATAACTTTTACACAACAAATCAAAGAGCAAAGTAAAATCTCTCAAATTTCAAGTAGGAATGAAAATGGCAAATTTCAATTAATTCAATTTCTTTATCACACTTTGCCAACAGCAAACATCAATAAATATATTAACAATAAAAAATAAAAATAAACAACAATTCATTTCATATTATTATGCTGTCATGTTACATAGTTTAACATTTCTTTTAAATTCCTCCAATTTTAGCAGACTGAATCATTTGCTACTAATATAAAACTTAAATATTATATTGTGCTGAATCAGTTAGTCAAGAAATTTATCACCCATTATGGAACCTTAAGTGCCCAATAAAGGACCTATGTATGATGTACAAATCGATGGTTAAATTTGAAACTCCTCTTTGAACTAGACTGAAACTTGAACAAAATTTAACAAACACATGGTTCATAAAAAAACAGCACATTAATATTATATGATATTGACTTACCATGTTGCTTCTCTCTTCTGAATACTCAAAGAATAAAGTATCAAGTATTTACACTTGTTTTAATGCACAATAACACACGACTTGGCACATTTCTACAACACACAAAATGGACGGTATGAGATCACTACCTCAAGACAAAATTAAGACTCATGCCCACAAGGCAATATGAGCTAACTCAGTCAGTATAGTGGGTAGCTACGGGGTGGATGACCGGGCTTCGATCCCCGACGGGGGCAGATGGTTTTTCCTCTAGCCTCTGCGTCCAGACCGGCTCTGGGGCCCACCCAACCTCCTCTCCAATGGGTACCGTGGTAGCGGGACGAACTTTACTTTACTGTCCACAAGACAACGAAAGCATGTGCGAACAATAAATTATATGTACCACCAAATAATGTAATCATATAGCAGTAAATACAAAATGAAATATGTATTTGAGGATTAAAATACCCATATAAATAAAAGAGAAACGTCAAAACACGTGTTGTGAAGACAGTAAGTGCTGAGACAAGGTGCAGTGAATATTATTTGTCTAGATGTTTATTCGGTTGTCTTTAGCCCACCGTTTCATCACTCTGATTATCTGCTCTACCTGTGAGTTGGCAGTGTTCCTCAACAGCTGTATCACTTCTGTCAGCAGCTCCCTGCAGCAACACGAAAGACACGGATCTGAGAAAACTTATATTTGATTGCATTCAAAATCACACGCTTATTTAAAAAGGAACTTTTCATGCGGCATGAGAAAATGATAAGCAAATATTAAAGACTAAAATGAAATTTTGAAGGCAACCACAAAACTTTCAAGCAACCTGCAGAAGATAGAAGCTCACTTGTTCTGCTGGCCCGCAACGATGCGCTGGAACACTCCGACACACGCTCCTCTCTTCCCTTCCCAATGCTCGGGACTCGGATCCAACCTCTCTAGCATGTCAAACGCCTTTGCCGCATACCAGAATTGCCCCATCTTGTAACAGTCATTAGCAATGATCTGCAAAAGGCTGAATGACTCGGCTGAAGTCTCCATCTTCAGGTAGAGGTCCCATGCTTGCTGAGGCTTCTTGTTCATTATATCTGTACATACATACACATGCACACATACCTATAGATTACACATTAAATATAAAAAAAAAATTTCAGAGACATTTCATTGGCTGCAGTACTACGAGAAATTGGTCGAAGGATCGGAGCAGAGCAAATGTTTCCCCTTCCAATCCAACCCTCCTCCCCGCTCATGCTCCATTTGTTTAACAAGATAACCTGCCTGTACAGTACATCAATGTAAACTAATGTTTCTCAAAACTCCATAAAATATACTATTCTTACAGCAACGAGCCAAATGACTGATGTAAATATAGTCACTCTTCATCTTCTCATTCTGAATCATCAGGAAAGTTTCTTCAGCCTCTTTATAGCTGCCTTTAGCTGCCTGTGCCTGAAATTACAAGAATATGGTTATTCTTCTTCCTGTCTTCTTACTGTAATTTCAAAACACTGGTCATCCCTGTGTCAAATGTCATACAAGATGAAGTACGATGAGTATGTTCCATACATTCTTAACCTCAACACTACAAAGATGGAAAATATCTGACACAAACAACAAATTTCTTATTACAACAGTAAAATAAAATCATGATAGACACTAGCAAACATGGAAATAGTTTTTATCCACTACAGTTCTTATAATATCTTCTGCTGAGATGAATGTAATGATTAAACATAAATCCTATAAATAAAATCATTGAAAAATAAATCCTATATATAAAATCATTGAAAAATAAATCCTATATATAAAATCATTGAAACATAAATCCTATATATAAAATCATTGAAACATAAATCCTATATATAAAATCATTGAAACATAAATCCTATATATAAAATCATTGAAACATAAATCCTATATATAAAATCGTGTTATCCAGTATTCTAGTATTCTGCATTTCTCTGTCTCTGATCTGGTTGATAGCTAACCATAATAGTTTTTACTGCGTAAATGTAAATCTGTGTCTGTCGCCATTTCAACGGCAGTGGTTAACTGTTTAAAGCCTAATGGTAACTACATGTCCCACCAGCTTCAACCATCAATAACTCCCTGTGAGTTCTGTACAATTCTCACAGTAAGTAAGGACTCTTTGTAATGGTGAAGCGTTGTGTTTACCTTGCAGTATAGAGTGGATTCTTAAACACTATTCAGAGAACTTATTAACAGAACTTTGATGATTGGCATAAGAAAAACACAGGCAAAGAACTGGCACTTTCATTAGCATCTTGTTTGGTCAACAGGATTTTACGAGTGAAATATTTAGTAGGCAATCAATCAACCGACTATCTTATTCTTTTGTAGCATAAACCGAAGCTTCAATATTGCTGACACCAAGACCTGCCACTGGACATGTTTCTGAATCAGTCTCATTCAACTCCCAATCTTACAACCCACTTGCCTAAGATTTGACTTAACGTTGTCCCCTTCTCATTCACAAACCTGAGCAAAATTGAAGTTGAAACTGTCATCATTGAAGAAGTAGCTCTTAATGGAACTCAAGTAAATAAGGACATCTTCAAACTGACGCAGCAGAAAGAAGTAAGAAGCCATACACTGACGACCTGGAATGGTGTCACGCTCGCTGCCACTGCTACCAACCAACTGAAAGTACTGCTGGGCTATTTTTATATGTTCTCTCTGCAATAAAGATAACAGCACTATCATCAAACCTTACATTGCTAGATGAATGAGACTTTCTAATGGATGAGGAACTCCGTGCTCTTACTTTCTTTGATGCAATATTTTGTATACTGGCAAAAATAGAAGTTTTCTTTCTTTAACATTTTGAGCCCATTAGCGTTAGCAGTTCTACGCGCCTCATTCGGCCAAGATGCAAGAGACTAAACAAGTACAATCTTGACTATAAGAAACGTACTTACAAAACCTAGCTGCAACACTGACAAAGTTTTCAGAATTCTACAACTCAATATTTCTAGCGTTAGTTGTCACAATTACAAGTCTCTAATTTCACTGTAAAATTATGCCACCTGAAACAGACCGCTACACCTGCACATTTGCAACTAAAGACACAAATTACTTCTCATATGGACCATATGTTTTGTCTTCTCTGTTATCTTAAAACCAAGGCCAAGTGAGTGTGAAAAGGAATTAATTCAATCTTTCTGTTGTAAAATTAAGAAACATGGAAAAATGGAAAAATTATGCACGTAAGTACAAAGATAATTTGAGTCAATGGACATACTGAACCACTTTCCTGACCCATTGCTGCATTCACAACTCCTTTCAGAATATATTCTTGTGGTACAGCAGGTTCCAAGTCCTTGATTAACTGAAATGCTTCACGCATATCATCCTGCAAAGAAAAGATGCCATAACTAAAGAGGAAAGGAAAAGAAGCACCCCATCACACAATAACACAAGAAGCCAGGAAAATGTTACTATCACACTTCATTATATGAGAATTCTCTACATTAACGTATATCTTAGAATTCATAATTTTTTATAGGAAAAGAGACAATGAGTCACAATTGTAAACACAATGTTGATTTCTTGCAAATACGGACAACATTATTTTCATGCACATACTTGTACTTTCTCATAATTACAACACCACATGGTTATAAAGTTTAAAGTTACTTATAGAAGGCATAAAACCACTTCAATATATAATTATTTTCAAAGCTGTTATTACTTCTTACAAACCAAACTAAAGGAGTGCTGTAAGTGTAAATCTTTGTGTGTGCATTTATGTAAGCACATACAAGAAAAATAAGGTACTCCAAATTGAGTAAAAATTAATTTCAAAATATGAAAGAACCTCAACCTGTTTGAGGTAGTATATGACCAGATTGAGACGAGCCTCAGGAATAACATCTACCAATGAAGGCAGAACTTGCAGAGAACCTTCTCCTCCTCGAAACACCACCAGGTTGTGACGTATAAGGTCATGTCCAAAACTAAATGATGAGGAGCTCTGATCCTGCAACACAATTTGTATCTCCTTATATATGTTATCTTTATGATATTCCTAACTAAACTGCAGCATTTCAACAGAGATATTAAAAAAATATCTCATACTTTGTCCTCTTGCGAGAATACGGCTCCCATAGTTCGTTTATCACACATTAAAGTTTCTATCGTTGTCTGTCCTCCCACAGATTTGAGACTCACAGCTATAAAAGATTCTATCTTTTTTTGTACTCCCTTACTTTTAAGTCACTTTTACAATAAAAATTCTTAAAACAAGTTGTTCCTTTATAATTCCATAGAACATAAGAAACTACTGTATAGCAACACATGGCTTTCAAACTGACAGAAAGTCAAATATCTGCTATAATGGTTAAATATATTTCATACCAAGATAAATATCATATTTGGAGGCACAATTAGAAAATAATACTACCAATTACACAATTCTGTTAAGCATTCTCTGCACAAAGTGCAAAAAATTCTAATGTAATATGATGAGAGTCATGTTTGTCCTTTGCCTGTCTATATAAATCTGAAATTATTGATACATAATATGTCAATAATATTTTGTATTGGGTGTCTACATGACTACACTATGAAAATTTCTATATTCAGAATATTCTCTTAAATTTACAAACAGACAATGTCAATGTCACCTTACATGAAAATTAAAGTAGTCTCAAGAGACTGACCATAAGGAATTTTATCTCAGCTTCAGCAGCCTTTCCATTGTAGAGGCGAAAGTGGTTGCAAGCCTTCAAATTTATGGCGATGGCTGAGTCTGGGAACTGCTGCAGGTAAACAGACAGTACTTCCTGTGACACATCATAGTAGTCCAACTTATAGTAGCACAGAGCCACATAGACATTCACAGCCAAGTATTCCCTGCAAGCAGGTTTCAAAATATCAGACACGTCTTCAGCACCAGCCTTCATTTTAGAGTCCTTCTTCAGACTCCAACAATCTTTCAGCTAAATTCGTATTTTTTGGGGGGGGGTGGGGTGGGGGGGGGGAAGATAAAGGTTCATTACCATCGTCCAACTGGACCCTATCCTGAAACCAGTATACACCTTCACATCCTACTTCTTTAAGATGCAATTTACTATTACCTTCATAGCATCTTTATAGGTTTGGTTTACTTCATTACGAAATTTTATATTCAGATAGACTGAAGGGCACATAAAAATTGCGCAAAACAAGCTTCTTGACTGAATGCTTCTGACATTAAAGATAATTTTATTTTACATTTCATTACAGAAGTGCCGCAGCATCACAGCATATAATGCTGAAAGATGTTAATGTAGGGTGATGAAAATTTTAGAAACAAAATTTAAAAAGTACTAAAAAAAATTTCTACTCTTGGTATTCTAAGTTGAGTAAACAAAGATTACAGTTTCTTGCTGTGTACCTGTTATCCAATAAGATGCGTTTATAAATGTCAATTGCTTCCTGATAGTGTGACCGCAGATAGTGGATCGATGCCAGTGAAAGTTGATCCTCTATAACATCTTCAAGTTCTTGATGATATTCCATCAACTTGTTCTCATCACCCAGTTTGTGAGCAAGATGAAACTGTAGACGAGTCTTAAGACGAGACTTTACAGACTTTTGTAGTGTCTGAAATGGTACAAATATGGCTGTCCCAATCCAATGCCACCCAACTATGACAACATTATTAACATCTTAACTTCAACCTGTGACACTGTGCCAATCAAGTCAACTAGACGAGCAAGATCTCTAATTATGTACAGTGGCTCGCTGTAAGATCCTGGAATACACTCACCCTCTCAGCTTCAGGATACATGCCCAAATAAAAATAACAGCAAGCAAGGTTCACTGGGACATCTTCAGGAGGATTCTTGTTATGACTTAGGGCCTCATACACCGACATAGCCTTCTTGTAGTCCCCAAGATGGAAAGAACAGTAACCAATCCACATTTCTGTTTCCACATTTCCTTTACCACCTCCAAACTTAAAAAAGAAAAAGTTATGTTACAATAAAAATATATGTTTGTAATCTCTTTGTAATATTGTCTGTGCAAAACATTACAAGTAGGTTTACCTGAAGCCACTACATTATGTAACTATGTTTCTTGAAATTTATATTGAGACTTATAAAAACAAATTTTGGAATGAGGTATGTCTCATCAATTTCAGTCAGTAATTTCAACTATATCAGAAATTATTTTAGGTATAGATAATGAGATGGAAGAACAGAAGGAGAGGAGCTCATTTTATGCATGAAAGAGAAAACTCACACATATTTATATCAATAAATATGTAAGATCAGAATCCGGAGGTTCAGCTACTCTTCCAAAAGAGGAAGAAGATACTCTAATGTGACATACACGAGATAAAATTTGCATTTATTCTTCTTTGTTTATTTTACCCTTAAATGTACAGGCAACTTAGATTTGGCAAGTGAAAACCTTTAATAAGGAAAAGAAGATAAACATCCAAATATATAAACTTCTAATTAACATGCATGTTCAGCCAGTTTTCTGACTATAATATATTATTAAAGATGTCCTCAATTTTGTTCAGTAATCTCATCCTGAATTTACAGAACTTACCAGGATGTACTGAGTGTCTGAAAACTGAATAGTGATACAAGATAATGCAAAGACTGGGCTACAGTAAACTGTTCCTTTCCAAACCTCTAATACTGTAAGCGCTCCTGTGTAGTCTCTGGTGGCAAGGAAGTCTTCCACTTTAGGTACTTGCTTTTGACTTTGTGTCTGTTGACTTTGTGCTGTGTAACTTGGACCTGCTGCTGGTTTTGATCGTGACAAAATCTGTAGCAAGAAAAAAGAAAATGTTATAACTGTTCAGTTACACCTATCTTAACCTTTAATAAAAATTCACTGATTTTAATAAAGCTTACATTATTTTACTAATGTATTTCCAGCTAGACTTTTCACTGCTAAAAATGTCAATCTTTGCAAGGCCTGTAATAATTTGATTGTGTGACCACTAAAAATTCCACAGCATGAAAAGAGAAAGTAATGGTTTCTGTGAGTTAGAAGGAGACAGAACAGAAGAAAGGTTACAAATATTTCAAGATTATAAGCTGGTAAAGCAGGACTTCTTAAAACTGTTTAACTTGCTTCCCAAACACTTACCATTATAACTGGCGCTATAAAACACTTTCCTCTGCTAAAAATACTATGTGAACATGTTTAAATGTTGGTACTTTGCTTAGTATATGTGTTTATGGCTATATCGTAGCATGCAGGTTATTGTGCCTGTCGCTCATGACACTATTCAGAAAGCTGTTCACCAGTTAAACCCGTGACGGAAGTACGGTCTATATAAAGGAACAAAAATTGGACTAAGCTATACATGATGTTTCAATGGAGCTTACTGCCTCCATCATCAGGTTGATCACCCTGAACGTCTCGATCACAGAAGTCGCAACGATACTCGAGCTTAGGCTCATGACGTCATTCTGCTCGAGTAATCGAGCCGGTTGAGCATGTAGCGTGTCCCTAATGAAACTACCGTATGTGCTTGCGTAGTAGTGGTGTGTCAGGATTATTAAAAAAAATCTAGATTACAACTACAATTCCAATAAATGTATGCAATTACTGAATTATCTCCGCAATTATATCATATCCCTTCACTCAAGAAATTCTTAATTTGGTATCAACTTCCACGTTCTATATCGCAACCAAATTGTAACCTCTACTACACCACGAATGTTGGTTTCATGTGATTGATTAGTTAAATCATAAATCTAAGTATGTTGTCAGGAGTTAAACACATTATTTTAGTTCTCTCCGGTAAAGGAGGTGTTGGGAAATCAACTGTTAGTGTTCTGTTGGCAATAGCGTTAAAAGAATGTGGTTATAAGGTAAAGTATCATAAAACACTATTAATGTGAGGTTAAGCACATTCAACAAATATCCGATTAACGTTGAATGTACCTTCTATTCATAGGTTGGTTTATTAGACGTTGATTTATGCGGTCCAAGTATACCGTATCTCCTTAATCTACAAGAAAAGGATGTGCATCAGTGCCCTCAAGGGTAAGTACGTCACTGTTAACGATATGTTGCAGTAGCTTGATTAGCACTACCACTTCGCATTCAGGAGGTCCTGGGTTTGCAACGCTGTCCGGTGACCGAGGTTGTTTTTCAGGCTCATGTAGATATTGAGATGGTATTTAAATATTAAGGGATTCAATAAATGTTTGACAATTTGAATGAAAGCACAATTAACCCTTCAAAGAAAAGAACTACCTACCAAGATGCTAACTAAGCCGAAGACGATGCCCTTTGCTGTGTTAAACTATCCCTGTATATGAAATGCATTGCTGGAATTGGAGAACAGTGCCTTTTTAATGATATTTGGTCTTGGCTGAAGGCCTTGACATGTTCAGAGTAAGAGCTAGAGAAGACAGCAGGAGTGTCTGCAGACTGAATTACAGCTACTGCATGGGACATCAGTACTTGGTCCAATTTAATTAACTTATGGTTTTTGCCAGGAAGATGGATAACATTTAAATGTTCAGTCCTTACCATAAAGAAAAAACAGCCAATATCCATTACAAGGATAAAGTGGTAAATTCTGTTAAAAGAAATAATCACTGCGTACTCTGAGAATCATACGGAATCCATAAATACACTTTGTGGACAAATTACAGAATTAATTATTGTTAAAGCTTGTACATTTAGCTATCACACACATGAACACATCATCTGATGCTACAAAGTGGTATGCCATACCTCACTGCATTAATTTTTCTTAACTTGATATCATTATGTTTTAATTATCAACAAGTATTATATTAAAGCTTTAATTGTTTATGTCTGGTAAGTTCTTGAACTTTCCTAGGTCTGGGAACCACAAGACCCAAATTAATTGACATATCGGAATGGTTAATGTCTGGTTTGTAAATTGTAAATAACATCCAAATCAGAAAGTAGTTTAATATTTGTGACACTGTAAAGTTGTCTCTACTTTTTCTTCATAAGATGTTACTATATTGCAGATGGGTCCCTGTATATTCTGACCAAGATCAGAATCTTGCAGTAATGTCTATAGGATTCCTACTGAAAAGCAAGAATGATGCTGTTGTTTGGCGTGGACCAAAGAAACATGGTATATTTACCCAATATTGCAATTATGACATAAAAATTATCACATTTATCTTCTTCTGTATACAATGTTATATAATTATGGTTTACAGCAATGATCAAGCAATTCTTAACAGATGTGTACTGGCAGGACATAGATTATCTGATTATAGACACACCACCTGGAACATCAGATGAGCACATAACTGTCATGGAAAACGTCAGGTAAGTGCATGGAAGGTGAGTTTATAAGATTTACTCCATCACTAATTTTCCTGTTCCTTACTGTGAATATGAAACTTGGTCTCTCATTTTAATGGAAGAAGACAGGATAAGAATGTCTGAGAAGAAAGTGTCATGCATATCTAGACCTAAGGGATTAGGTTAACAGGAGATTGAAGAAAATTACATGATGAGCTTCATGATGTATACTCTTCACCTGATATTATTAATGTTAGTGGATCAAGGAAGATAAAAAGGAGGGGGAATATACCATACAGTGGAAATGAAGACGGCATACATTTTGGCTGTAAATCTCTTTGGAATATTCAGCATCGATAATATCAAATGGAATTATGTTGGCTCAGGACTAAGTCCAGTCACATGCTTTTGTGAATAGTAATTAACCTCCAGATTCCATAAAAGCAGGGGATTTCTAGAGCAGTTAAGTAATTTTTCATTAATATTAAAAATACACAACTCATAATTTAAACTCATGTAAGGTGTGGCTGTACTTTTTAGGCCATACATGTATATTCTGAACTGAAGTAGTAGATTTCTAAAAATTTTCTTCTGTATTATAAGCAGTTCATAAAATACCACATTTGTCATACTGTGTAGCCTGTCACTTAAGTGTAAATTTTTGTTCACAATCAGAAGTCTGAACTGTGATGGAGCCATTTTGGTAACAACACCGCAGGCAGTTGCCATTGAAGATGTAAGAAAGGAGCTGACTTTCTGTCGTAAGACAGGAATTCCTGTACTTGGGGTGATTGAAAACATGAGTGGATTTGTCTGCCCTACATGCAGTGTAAGGAGTCTTACATTTTCATTTTTAGCACTATTCAGATGTGAGCTCATAAATAATCTTTTAAGATCAAAGTTTGAATTTTGTGTTTTGAAGTGAACTTACCAGTGATGAATCAAACTCTGCTCTTACTTTGTGCTGGTGCAAAATCTGATATGCTACCCTTGAGATGCATTTATTGTTCACATCTTATGAAAGCAAGCCAGTCTCTTGTATTTGGATTTTAACAGAACATATAAAAACAAATAATTTCAATGTATGATTGCAGTGCTCCCTGCACAACAACCCAGAAGACGGAAATCTTCATACTCACCGCTGTGAGAACCTCAAGTCTTACAAGCTTGAAGTTGATTTTATTTGTTTTAGATGCAAAAGCTAGCTTTTATATTTTGTTTAACAGGAATGCACCAACATCTTCTCTAGTGGAGGTGGACAGTCTCTGGCAAATATAGCTGATATTCCATTTCTGGGATGTGTGCCAATTGATCCACGAGTGGGGCAAAGTGTTGAGAAGGAACAAAGCTGTGTGGCAAAAATTCCAGACTCTCCTGTCACTGCAGTGTTTAAGGACATGGTGAAAATTCTCACAAAACCCATAGCTGGTGCAGAAGATGGCACAGCAGAAACATAAAGGCAATGACTTTCAGAAGATGTACATATGTGTTGTTTATTAGAGTTTCAGAAAAAGCAGCTTGAATATTCAAGTCACCTGCATAACAAGTAAAAGGCCAGCAAAGAATCTATGAATATTTGCAGTACATATCTCAGAAAAATTTAATGAAAAATCTCACAATAAATCTAGTCACTTATGAAAAGCTAGAACTTCATGTGTTTGAATACAGCTCAGATTAATACAAGATGCAGAGTTATACAAGTAACTTTTGAGTTACATCAAAATCTATGCAGGGGTTTGGAATTACGGCTCCTAATAAGTGTCAGACAGACATGACTTACACATAAAACATCTTTTTAAGATTTAGGGCACCATTTCATATTTATGATTACAATAAAAATGAAAATGAATGGTAATTTACTACAACAATTATACAACTGGATTGATTAAGCTCCATTTTAATATTATCCTCTCATCTATGCACAAGTTTTCTAATGGTCTCCTTCCTTCAGGCATAAATTACATCCTCACTACAAAAATCACAGAATATTTATACAAAATGTGAAAACCATGTTTAATAAAAGCAACATTTTCTACAGAAGTGATAGTATTAACTGTTATCTTTACTCTCAGTTCTTGATTTAATATTCCTGTGCTCTATTATTTCTTCAGTGTCACACTCACTCACTGGTACCACTTCACCAAGTGGTGATTTTGAAGTGAAAAGCACTGGTATTTCAGCCAAAGCAGGGTTACCATCAGTTTCCAAGCTACGAATCCATGACAGAAGAGAATCTCTGCTTGAACTACCTGTGGCACACATGGCAAAGATGGTTCCATCTTCTTGCTCATGAACTGATGGTTGCCTAACCAGGGCTTGATTTTCAGTGACGTCGTCAAAAAATGGGAGCCTCAAGTCACCAACATCTAAAATAAAAAACAACCCATTTCCTGAAATGTTCAACATTTTTTATCATTGCTTATTATGCCCCTGTCATTGTCCTATGATGGAGGAAGTAAGCTCCTCTGAAATATCAGTCAACATACCAGAAGACAGCCATCTTCATCCATCAGAAGTTTACAGAGTTGCAATGGCAGTTAATTAAAACACAAATTTTGAGTTTTGCCCAAGAATATGATTTTCATACTGAGTTTTATGAAAGTTAATGATCAGCATAAATGTTACATAAGGAGGAATACACGTGCATGCAGGGAAGATGGGAGTAAAAAGACGGTTCTTGAAAATCGTTGGTACATGTTGTAAATTATGATTATTGTGCATACCGTCAAAGTCCTGTGGAGGCAGGTTTGGTTTAGGTCTTGGATCTGCACGTAGTATAAAGTAGGATACTGAAGCATTACGCAGCCATACCCTAAATACTCCCTCCACAAATATTGAAATATCACGTGGATGTGCATCCAAGAGTTCCCTCTGCACAGGAGACTGTACACTTGCTATCCATGTGTCATCTAATGAGTCTTTCAAATCAGATGCCTGAAATGTAATCATATTAACAGCTATTTTAAACAAACAATGTTACACAGCAGTTCATGCCTTCCCTTTACAGCCTTATTATCCTCTTTCCTACAGCAAGACGGATGGTGGGTGGGTTCCCCTGTATAAGGAAATCACACACTACCACTCAGTCTAATTCAAGTTTCTGTTCATGCTCAAAATTTTTTCGTGTAAACCACTTTATGTACCTGATATTACAATAGCTGGTGAAAGTGGTCCACCAACATCCAAGCACAGACTAACATCACAACTTCTGTGACACATTACAATTCACTTTTCATTCTTTCTAGAATAACATTACAAATTTAAATAATAAAGTCTCCTAAACATGTTGAGTAAATCTACAGATTTTGTATTTGTAGATTCTGCAGGGGCAGTAATCAAAAGAATTTAGGGAACATGACAGCCACAATCCTTTCCTTATCATCTATTCTTTCAAGATTCAAAGAAACAAAATGCTCACTAATTCTCATAGTGGCATAGCGGCAGCCTCTATTTACACTGATGCACACTGACCAGCCAAATGCTATAACAACTGGACTGCTCTGATAAAAATATCTAGCCATTGTGTCAAAAGAAATATGCCTGCAGAAAGATGAAATACCACTAATAAAAAAAGAGTATGAGTTGTTAATATTTTAAATATTGTAATAAATTTGGGAGAAATCAGAACACTATTTCATTTGCTTCCATTCAGTCAGAAGAGTCTTAAATAATTTTACACTCTGTTCAGGATATTTCTCAAAAATACTCCATTTTTAATGTAAACTGTTGAAAAAACAGATGTGATAAATTACAACCAACCTGATATACCGAGACCTTAGACTGTAGATCTACACTACTCATGCGTTCCATTGCCATCTTTGCAAGTTCTAAGCTATTATTGGGGACTGGATTCGGCAGAGGCCATGGTGATATATTCTTGAACTTGGGCATCCAGTACATCATACGCCAGTATTTACGCACCGGGTGGCCTCTTTTTCCAAAGATGTTGAGCAGGAGATTTTCCATTTCTACGTCAGGCGTCACACCTTGGATGCACCAGACAATAAACATATTATTAGCATGAACACAGCAACTACTTTAAAATTACAGCTTGAGTAATAAATAAATAAAATTTAATTGTTGTAATTCTTCTATTTTTGTAGTTTGTCACCAGATATGGCTTTGGAACACATCAAATTCAGTCCAACTGACAAGGATGAAGACAATAATACACTTTTTAAATGGCAGCACACACAGTAGCAGAAGGGGCATTCAGATTAATACTGGATCCCAACTGTGGTGGGGTCTGATGTGCCTCACATATTCTACATAGTTGCCAGAAGTAAAGAAAAGAGAAGACATGTACAAAATTTACCATAGACCCAGCTGCTCTTCATCATAAAATCTTTTACATAGAAGATCCCTAAACCACCATGTCACCATTTGTTTTAACAGGGTCTATAAATATGGACACCTGAACTATGTTATATCAGGATCTCAGAGAACAACAGCTTTTCTACATGACTAGAACAGTACTGTCCGATAACAAAGAATAATGTGATAAAGACTGTCAATACCACCAGAAGCTACCACACCAGTAATATGAGTCATGTTATCAAGCACCAAATATATATTCTATTAATTTTATAGAATGTGTTTGCTGCATTTTCTAAATGTGATGTATTGTACGGACTTTCCCCAAATCCTGCCAACTACAATCTATGGCACGAATCTGTATCTACCTACTCAATCATCGATCAACCTATATGCCTAAATGTAAATAATGTTCAAATTTCCAGATACATGTATTCACAAATTCATAAACTTGTTCCATTCATCACAACAGAAAAATCTTTAAAGATACTTGCCATGGTCTTCCATCTGTTCCAACACATCAATGATGCATTGTTGTTGTTTGGGATAATGCTGAAATTCTGCTTGGAAAATATTGGTTGGGATATATTTACCCTTTGGTAAAATATCAATTAAAGACTTGTATACTTCTAAATCTTTGTTAACACCAAACTCTTCCATATGGCGTAAGGCTGCATAGATAAATTCAACATGACCACGTCTATGGATATCCCTCGATTCAAATATATGTATCATATCCAAAAATGTTTCTTTGCTCTTGTCTTGAATACTTTCAAAAAAGTCTTTTGTCACTAATGACTTCTCTGCATTCAGGCATTTATGTAGATGAATTAACCTCCGGTGAGTCCATACTGCAACTGGCCATGGTTTAATAAAACCTTCTAAACGTACTGACAATGGTAATGTCCTATGCCATTGTAGTATCGTGAAAGATGTAAAGTAATGGCCCACTGAACATAAGACAGAATTTCTATACATGTTTTTGGTTTAAAGTTTCTTATGACAAAAAGGTATTCCGTTCATCTCCTTAAGTATCGTGCAAAAACGTCGTAAAACATCCGAACTGTATACAGAAACTATAAAATATAATACCATCTTTTCACATCATTCATCCTAACCTAAACTGTTTCCAACAGCTGTCGTTTTCATCTACCAATAACTAGCCAACACGAATAACCAACATAATGAGCACATATTAACCTACAGACCGAAAACTCAATGTTAAAAGTTGGCAATGTGAAACCGTTATAAATCGATCGGAAACAGTTGTTACCAAACCATCATATCAGAGCCTATAGCTCAATCGGTAACAAAGTTAACTTCCATCCAACTTTCTGCCTACCCAGTTCATAACATAGGATTAGCTAATCTAACAAATATCTGTGTTGCAACTCATTGCATTTGCAAGAAAATAAATGGTAATGTTGTGTGTTAATTTGATAAAACAATGCAATAGGTAACACTCATTACTATGTTGAAAGTTTGGAGCCCAAGGACATCTAGAAACTGGTGAAAATAATCCTACGAGGGGTCATGAGAACCTGAAATCTCACTTTTATTCCAAATTGCAGTTAATATTAAACAGATATGTAATTTTGACAGGTGATTCTATTCATTTTGAAGACTTATTGTTATGCTGCTTTATAATGACCGTTTAATAATCTTTCACGATTTGAAACCTGTTATACTGGTTTTTATCATTTAATTTTCTTACCAAAGTTGAGTTTTTACCACCTTTCTTTAAAACAACATAGTAATTACACTTTCTTAAACATTTTTTTATTCAAATGTACATAAATACTGACATCTCATACAAAAATACGTAACTGTTCATAATATTAGAATAGATTATCAGCATAGCTAATTCATTTTCATCCTTCTGAAACATAACATTATGAGCAACAAACAAAATTCTCACCCTACATGACTGTAGTTGGGCACAAAGAATTAAACCACCAATAAACTGAAGGCTACATTTAGCTTACTAATAATGCAGGACACAGGAATCATCTTTGGTAGACAAATGATAATAAGGTTAATGTCAAAGGGCAATGAAAATTAAGTTCAAACTGATAAGAAATTCTAAATTCCTCTGCATCTCATTTGTACGTTTAAAGTGGTAGGCTCTTGTGAAAATGATAATAAACATCATTTTCCAGAGGAGACACAGGGAAAACGTCTTCACCATGTAAGTCACTACTAGCTTCTCAAGAACTCTGCTCCATGAAGTTAGCTGGCTAGTCTTTTAGTTCAAGACTCCTTAAAGTGGATTCACATGTTCATTTTTAATCTTTAATTTTTAAGACTTGAAACATTTCTTAGCTGGAAGAAATTTCCAGCTTAGATATTATTTTATTACAATGAACATGTAGAAATTGTATGCCACATTTGAGAAAGTTGCATCACTTCAAGCCAATACTTCTTGTAACCTGAAAAAAATAAAATATTAATTAATATCTACAACAGATGATGGAAAAAAACAACTTTCACATTAAAAAAAATAAATAGTAGCCACATTATGTAATTGGTATTCACACCAATATGATTACAGAAACAACGGGCCAATGAAAATGGGAATGGGGTTTTCTCTGAGTTGTTCGGTTTTCCCTCGTTAATATCATGTTCCATATTCACTCATGTATTATCGGCTACAGCAGTTTTGTTTCCTCTACCCTTACCGTGAGAAACAGTAACATTCTGCACTGCAACGTACATTATTAGACAAGTTGTAGAAAAGTTAATATAGCTGCTATTTTATTAAACATTGTTTTATCAACTGGAGAGTTTATATAGCATTTAATGATAAATAGATATGGAAGATGAACTACAAAGAAAATTGAATTAAGACGCTGAACCATAGTTTGACATACTATTTCAGTATTTACCAGAACAGACTAAAGAATACGACACAAAAATCTCTACAGAATAACCAATCTCTGGGCCAGGATTTGAATCAGGATCTCCAAAATAGAAACCAGGAACGCTAACCACTACACTGCATAATTTGGTAGAAAATAGCAGAAAACTTAATACTGACTTGTTCATATACTGTCCACGCCATAGCAGCCATCAGTGTCCTTCGTAGCATTCTAGGTACCAGTCCCTTGAAGTAGCCTTGAATACCATATTTCTAATGAAACAAAAATGTAAACAGACATATACATACCAGCTTGAATGTGTTTAAATCATTGAAGACTTTTCTTTATGTCACTTTAAACCATAATTTATTTCAATAAATTAAATGATCTAACAGGCTGCAGTTTCAACTCTTTGAAGCTGAAGCTCGTGTAACTTATTTAAAAAACAATCCCTACATAAACAATAACAGTTTTCCATTACACATCGACGCCATTTAAAATAATCATAACAGATTAATGAATAGTTTGTTGGCAACATGCAGAGTTATAGGTATCAAAACAGGTGGTACATAGTTACCATTGTGCTTTAGTCAGCTATGGTTTTTGAAAAGATGAAAGGTTAACTTGTGATGTGTCAAAAGTCAGATTTTGGATTTTCACTCTGATCTATATATAATATAATATATACAGGATTTTGTCAGTTCCTTTACATTTAAAACTGGGGGAGGATATAAACACATATTCCGTTTCTCTCTTTCAAACAGGTCTAAAGTTTGTTTGCCATTTTATATTGTTTCAATCCAGTATTTAATTTGAATAAGAGGTTATACAAAATTATCAGCATCTCACCTGATGTATATAAATAAGAACACTATAAACGCCACTGAACTTGTTGGGATAGAGCTGCATTTTGGTTTTAACAACATCAGCAGGCTGCGTCACGACTGATGCTAAAAGCCCGGCAACAAGACCGCACGAGAAGCTGACAGGCGCTGACAAGTTTGAATGAAGCCATTCTGAAAGAAAGGCACGCAAATAATCGAGTTGTACACAGAAGATAAACTGACATCAGAAAGAAATTACTTTGAAGATGTCAGATAAGCTCGCATAAAGAAAGGTCCACAAACTTCGAAACTCTACCACACACAGGAGTCCCATTTATCTTGAAACCAAACTGGAGGTATTAGCATGTTAACGAGTTCTTGAAAAATTACTGTCTAATAAGACTTGTGAAGGTGAAGTACAGTGTAACACTATATTTATCACTAAAACCTACGCCACAATTTTTTTTAAAAAAAGTGTTATAGAAAACTTAGAAGAAAGTTCCCCAGTTAGTCATATTAAAATACATTAAGTTAATGACGACATGGAGAGTCTCATGATAAATGGGACAACTGCATTTATTTGGTGCCCTCTAAAATAATAGGATGACAAAATAATGATTAGCAGATCGATATAAACATATAATCAGCATGCATTTTAAAAATGATAAACTGAACATATAAATACAACATACATGATTGACTGGCCGTTTAATGGAATTCAAATAAAATTTGGTTTTCTACTTTCAAGTCAAAAGCACACTGCAGTATTACTTCCAAAATTAAGAAAGAACCACTGCTGAACTTTACCGACAACCAATTGTGAGAAAGATTAAATTTACATTTTAAGCAGAATCTCTAAACAAATGTTTGAAGACTGTGTCTTCTTTCAGCAAAATTAACCCTCACCATGAGGCACGGCACGCTTCGTCTGCGTGTAGAACATGAAGTAAAGTCCGGAGAATGGCGCATCCCTGAGTAACGTAGGCACAAGTCCGCAGCACAGACCTCGAACTCCTTCAGTACGGTAGATTATCCTTAAGGCTTCAGTCATGCCCCCATATTCGTAGACACCACTCTGTGATTATAAATACTTTCAATGTAGCGTGTTTTAATAAACTAAACAATCATATTTTGCTCAACAATGAAGTCATTATAATATTGTACTATTTGAAGACTACACACACAAAAATTTATTTTAAAACAAGAAACATCACAAATAAGAGAAGTTTCACATTTTTAAACCTTGAAACCTTTATGTGCATCTGACAAATGAATTCAAAACTGCTGTAGTCTTGAATACTTACCGTTACCTTGCGATGTACAGGACTCATTTTATAAGAAATATGGTTATAGTACACTAACTTCATGGAGCAGTCCTTGAGAAGTTAACAATCACTCAGCTAATAAAGAAATTCCTATCTTTTTATAGAACCCAAAGGTTCATTTTCACGCTCACAAAAGCCTAAAACTGGGTGTTATCATCATCAAAGTATGTGGCCCTGTGCAATACTTTGTAACATTGTACAGTGAGAAGTTGTTAGTACTGCGTCCAAAAGCGAAGCTGCAAGGAAAAAAACTCGTCATGTATTTAATATATTCTCAGCTACCTGGACGGCACATCCTCCAACCACAATCTTCAGAAGTGCCATAACACAGTGACAAGATACTCTTGTAACACGTGCCCCTGCCTTTCCGTTGTATGTAAAGCCACACAATAAACAGGACAGTAATATTTTGCATCGAAGGACTGACTGTTCCCCTACCCTAAACCTTATTTTGACCGAGATACACCCAACCTTAAACTTGATTGTGATCAGTGACCAGAATGAGGCATGCTCAAGTGCAGACATTAATCACCTACCTCAAACCTTGTTTTGATGACAGTGATTGGAATGAGACACACTCCACTCAATGATCGAGCCACCATGCCCAAAAGAATAGCTTCAATTGGCCCCGGGTCACCAGATGTCATATTTGATTTTAACCAATGGAGGGAGGAAAAGTACAGACCAACACCTGGCACACAGCGAGTGATGGACTGAAACAAAAAGAATACTTTAGTTATTCATACATCATATTGAATAAACCAAAGACAATCTAAAGGCTGAAATATTTCCTAACACTTGATATCACCACATCAAAATGTTTTCACCATTTTAAATGTGGCAAAATCTCTAGCACAGTTCTTCGAGTACGATACTTACGCAGACATATTATTTATGATAATCACCAAATAAAATTAAATTTAGCCATTTCACAACACAGTTACTTTTAAAATAAGTGTTCTAAATATTATCTTCTCTTTCCAAAAACTACAACTACTTTCCAACTGTTACTACAATGTAAATTATATTATTAATGAATAACAAAACTTACGGGGGTCATGCCCCTCCACAACCCAAACACATGTTCCTTTTGCAGAATATGCCCTATAATGGCTGTCATTCCACATGACTGTCCTGGTCTGGCCCTGAAAACAACATATTGCATTAAACAAGATGTTCTGAAATACAAGTTAAGATACAATGTAATAACTTTATAAGTTTGTGACAATGCTGTTGAAGCAAATTGTTTTCTTGACATTATCCGTCATCCAAGATTAAATAAAATCAATAAATACACGACGTTTCGGAGATAGACTATCATCTCTGAAACATCGTGGTTTTATTGATTTTATTTAATCTTGGATGACGGATAATGTCCAGAAAACAATTCGCTTCAAAAACAAGCTTCCACAATGATTATGTATCACCTTCCCTTTGATTTTAAGGCTGAATTTAATTAATATTTTTCTTTAAATGCACACTGAAGTAAAAAGACTCTCGGTGCGATTACTTTGACTATTTCTGACTCACCCAAAAGCTTTTGGTGTTGGATTTTGTAGTCGAGTTTTAACCAGGTCCAGTGGCTGAAATATTATGGTTGAAAATGTTCCAGAGAATGACCCCACAAGAAAAGATTTCAGTACGGGGTACTGTAAAAGGATAACAAACATTTTTTTAATTGAGTAAAACAAAAATAATTAATTCAATGTATGTCAAACACATGTATGTGTACTTACTAAGAGAACCATGGCCCAATGAGAATGTATCAGAATGCTGTAATATCTTTGCTGAATATGAAATTCGAAAGTAAAGTAAAAAAATCTAGTCACATTCATGCATGGAATTTATTTTTCTTACAAGTTTTTCCTGTGCTCAAAAAAGCAGAGTTATATTTCCATGCAATCTTAACCTTGACACTAGTAGGGAGTGAAAGGTCAGCTTCACACCCCCCAACAACCCATTGGATAGGTGGCTAAGTGGGTCCCAGATCCTGTCTGGACACAGTGGTAAAGAAAATAATCTCTGCCCTAGTCTAGACATAATCCCTAAGTGTCAAGCCTGTAGCATAGTTACTATACTGACCGAGCTATCCCAGCTTATTTAGTAAGTTCAATTTCACATAATAAAGAAACAGCATAGACACTTACAATAGAAGGCAGCACAAAATAAACATATTGTTACATAAATCTGTAACAATCATTAATAAGTATTCTAGTTAAAGATATGAAAGGTCTAATAAGAAAATAGTTGCATACAGGAACAACTTTCCATGTATACTTGTGTCAGAACTAAAGTTTTATTTGCACTTAACTAAAGGTATAAAACAATCCTAAACCCCAGGTTATGGGTATGACGCACACAGAATGTTAAGTACTAACCAATGTTTCAGTAGATACTGCAGATGCCATTTTCAAGATGAATGTGTAGTGGGGCAAGTCCTGGAGGCCTTATATATGGCAGGTCTACTCAATATTCAGCATGAATCATACCCGAAAGCTACAGTTATGCACTGAACTTCAGACCCAAAAACCTAAGGACAAGAAATCTGGACCCCTTAACCTGTCAACAAATCTTGAATATCTGACTCAATTATATAATGCAGAACATATTTAATGACCCCAACTTAGTTAAATACTGTAATGTGGATTACATAAATTTGGGCAATTAACTATAATCACAGTTTTTGTTCAGTACAACAGAACTTTCCACTGGCATATAATATATAAAACTTAAAATTAATTGAAACAGCACTTTGTAATGAACACATTTTTTACAATTGCAGTACTCACATTGGTTATAACATCCATGTCAGAATGGTGATTTATGTCTTCTGATATATGTTGCATACAGACTGACTCAAAATCTTTTGTAACTGTGTGACAGGGAGGATGTCAGAAAATTAAACCTCTTTTGTAACACCCAGATATCAATCAAAATACCTATCAAGTGCCACGTTTTGACTTGAATCCTTTTTCACCAGGTGGGCTTCAAGGTTTGAAGCCAAAAATGTGAAAGAAAAGGCACAAACTATGGTACTTCAAGATAGAAAACAAGGATCTCTGCCGTGGAATTTAACCAACGTATCTGAATAGTCTGAGTAATAAATGGGATTCACACGTTGCAGAAACAGCTCAGTCATCTTCTGGGGACTACTTAAGAACACCATTAAGATGGACTGCAATATACTGGTGTCTGACACTACAACTGTATGTGCTTCAACTAGCTCAAAGCTAGCTTGTTTGTTGTTTTACTTGCTTGAAGCAAACAGACTGCAAATCTAAACCCTAACTACTTCTCGCCCAAGTAAAATTCAATGTGAGAAGAACATAACTGAATCGCGCTACGTTAATTTCAGGTTAAAGCACTGTAGTCGTGAAATGTAGGATACACAACGATTTAATCACCCAACCAGCCTCTCAACAGAGTGCTACGATTAGAACTAACATCGACACACGACATACCAGCTCACATATGTCTCATCAGTGTCAAAAGATCACTTGCGTAAGACCCTGTGCAACTAGATATCCTTATCTGGGAATAAATGTAATTCTGTCGAAGGTTAGGGCCTGTGAAATAAATACCCCTGTACATCATTGCCTGTTGAAAAAAAATCTTAATTCGCTTTACAAGTTCATTATACTATTTATAAAATATTAATTCCTGTACTTTCCAAGTTACTTTTGTCCCAAGGGTAATCGTAACCTACACGAATGTGGTTTGTACCCCTGCGTATTTGTATTCTGGTACAGTAGCAATGTTTTATTCATTCTAGAAACTTCAGGTGCCATATTCCAATTGTTTAGACAACTAATTCAACAGAAACGCAATAACATGATACAGCTGATACAAACGATTAGCAAAATACTAACTGGAATTTCCTACAACGCACACAGCGAACCGTGACAGGTTTGATTCGCCAATCACTGGTACTATAACCAATGTAATGAGTGCATTTCGCACGTTTTCTGTCACATCAATTACCAATTGTTGACATCACTCGGCGGTAAATTCGCTAAGCAGAGTCGATTTGTCATTTTGTGTCTGACAAATTCTAATTTGCGATAACACCAGAATCTTACATCAAATTGAAACCGTGAATAAACAGAAACACCTTTGCTAAAGTATTTCCACGGCAACGCATATCGAATAGTAAGCTCCCTGCAAACATTTCACAAGTTGAAGATTGTTAAGTGTGAATAACAACTCATTACGCAAGAAACGTACAGCTAGTTTTTCACAAGAGTAATGCCACTTGGTGATAACCCGTAAGCTTACGTCCCATCTAATATCAGACAGCAGTACCCCCAGCAAAGCTGAAGGGGTCAGCTAAAATGCTGGCCTCTCTGAAGATAAACTTACACATTTTTTCAAACTGGCAGACGTCATGTTATTGTTTGTTTCTGAGAACGACGCGCTAGATTACATCAATTAGCGGAACTGTATATCTACAGGGCTCACACAAAGTGACAGTTATTAAGCAAAAGATTCATGTTGCTATGTGGATTTGTTTGCTCTTTTACTCAAAATCACAGTCATTATCAGAAAAATACACATTATTCTGAATCGTATTTTTCTTTCGGTGGGGGGAAAGAAACTGCAAAAGATGTTGAGAAAATCGACGACACAATAAGCAGCATCATTTGGCTTATAACTGCAACTATGCATTTCAGGGCATGTAACCTTCAGTATACTAGAAGCTGTACATTTTTGAACTATAGGTTTGTTGCAACAAACACAAAAGATGAAGTGCAGATTCAGACTCAGCAGAACACGTACTTAACAGCCTTGAAGTTATATAGAACGTGTAAGAGTCGTAAAACAAACGCTCTACCAGTTAGTCTGGTTATTGAACAACTCTGGGTCTCCATAACTCAATACCAGTCATGTGCATGTTCACAGTTCGGTATATTTATTACAACTATTATTAGGATGGTTACATCAGGAAGGAAGTAATGGGTGACGCAAGCTGCACCCATGGGAGATTTGAGAAATGCTCACAAAACTTTGATTGGAATATTAATAAATTTCTGAGTGCCAGGGGCTACATTTCAGGCATTAAAACATGAAGTATTCAGAAGGTACACATTTTAAAGTTTCAGTTGCTATGTGTGTGCTTTTCATGCTGGTGCTTCAGATGTATGAGGAATTTGATGCGATATGGAAATTATCCCATCGGAGGCCAAATTAATTTTATCATGCCACTTACACATATAAATAATAAAGACTCCATTAAATTATTTCTGTGGCAGATAGGAACTCCTTGGTACTGTTGAACTATTACCATTTTCTATCAACAAAACAAACCAGATTTTTGTTGAGTTGCAGCTAGTTGATAATCAAAATTCTTTTGAAATCCAATGCTTCCTTTTACTAGGAACTTCTCTGGTTCTAACACAAAGCTACAAGTTCTGTTCTGAAAGTATAGTAGGTTACAACAAAAGTCATGCAGGTACTGATAACAGACATACTTGGGTATGTGATGTGGTCAGTGCGTATTTATCACGAGATACAAATAATTTTTTTTTAAATTTGGAACATTCTTTTAAAATAAGAACCTACTCCTAATACTTCCCATTACCACCAAAATAATTCCAAAGTAATGCAAAACGGAGACTGATAATTTCACAAGATGTTATTGATCTTCTAGTGCCACTGAAGTTCAAAGATTACAACGTTATGGGTCACAAGATTAGATACTTTGCTGGGGGCCTTGAAATGCACATATGTCGCATTAATATGATGACCCACTGAAAACTCAAAGTTCACATCTTTAATAAGGATAATGTGATTTGTGTCAAAGATTCAATCTACTTCAATCAACATTATTTAGTTTCTTATACAAGAACAATAGTGACTGACATCAGTTATCACCAATCACATAGCCTGAATCGTTCCAATAGGTCAGAGAAATATCATTCATCCATGCAACATGTCCACACATTCTTCGAGATCAATCTCCTTCATTTACTTTCCGGCCAGTCTATTTCTTTTCCACCTTTTGTTCAGTTCAATTCATTTTGTAAATACATAACGAGAGAGCATACACACTGTGGTGTTAATACCGAGAGAGGTCAGAAAATTAAGAGAAAGGAAATTTTACCATCCATGACCAGAATCAAATATGCAGCAGCTTTGCAATTGGTTCCGACATCTTTCGTGCAGCGAGTACTTCATTAAACCAACTCTATACCAACAAGGATAGACGTCACAAGTGTCTGTTGCCCTTCCCGTATTTCAGATGCACATGATCCCACAATTTTGCTTAAATCTGCTTAGGGCTTCAATATATCGGAGTATGGACGTAGTACATCTCAGTCCCTGCAGACGGGGCAATTCAATTTCATTAGTTTAAAAACTGCAATATATACACACATATTTAAAAACTGTACTGAACCTGTAAGACAACAAAGTTGACATGGATAGATGGCAGAGTAAACAAGTCTTTTCTTCTGCAACAGGCAAAGGGATGTTGTAATATTACACAGTTATTTTATTGATCAGTTTTATATAACAAGATAAATGAATCTTGGTTTTCATCAAATCGTTTCCAGAAAAAAAAAAATTTCAGGGTATGGTAAAGCTTAAAAGTTACGTGTTATTTATTTACATTCGCACACAACTGACACCACCTCCATTCATACTAACCTGGCACAACTGAGAAAATTATATTAAGAAAAAACCTTAAATTACAACATTCAAGCTAAGTACCAATTTGTTAATATTATATGTACTTAGTATTCCAGGCTCTTAGAAACACAGTAGAAAATGAAGGCATATATGGGTTATTACAATCAATACATATTTTAAGCATTTAACCTATCACCAGCTTTAAAACATTCACAAAGAATCTGTACAAATTGCAAAATGCTCTCTTTCTTGCACCACTTAGAAAATTGTGGGTTAGTTTTTTAATTAATATTTTTTTAATCAATATTAATTGTAGTAACAAAAAAGCTCCCTTATTATGACAATAAGGCATGTTGTGGTCAGGAGCCAACAAATCTCGCGCGCGTCCATTCTTTTATGACCCTGATCCAGAAGACTTTTTGTCATTATTAATATGGCGAATCAATACCCGTTATGACACCCCACTGGAATCAACTGACGTGTTTTACTTCATGTATTAGTAGATATGCAGGTTTTGTCCATTAAAACCAGACCTTTTAACACTGCTTCCTTTGTAAACAATTATTTTGGAATGAGCAATTCTACCTCTTTCTTTCACAAACAAGCAAGGGGAATGTGCTTTATTCTCCCAAATTTCTTTGAGAAGAAATCCTGTTAAAATACACCACAATTCAAGCATGTATCACAAAATCACAGAGTTAAATAATTAACCATATAATTACTGCATCTCCATCATCAAGATTCCAGTCCACCAAAAATGAAATATTTTAAAAAGACTGGATATAAAACAAGCACTGACCTCTTGTTGGTAAAACACTGCCTGAAATTTTATTTCAAAGCAGTTGTATTGAAGCTGTATCGTTTATATTTACATGAACATTCCTTGTATTCTATTCTTCCTACTTTCAGTATAGTAACATGTTACAACTGCAAGTTCAAAATAATGTTCACAGACAAAAAAGGCAGGGCACATAATAAGGTGTAATTGTGATAAATGTGAAGGTAAGAAAAGTCAACTGAAAACACTTTTTCCATCCAAATGTGTCCGATATTAAAATTCAGAAATGTCAAAGGGCGCATATATTTGAAGAAATAAAAGATTATGAGATATATGTCAGAACCCAAAAGTACATCAAAATAAGATGACCTTTTAAATACGAAAAAGGAGAGCACTACACGTTTAGAGAGTGAAGGGCTCTTGTATAAATTTACATACAACATGCATGTAATCTTTTACAGTTAATACAAGTAGTGCTCAAGAGAACGGCCATCATGCCGAGAGCCATTCCAATCTACACGTTATGACAAGAACTAAAGCCGTGTTGCTTCTCTTCCTTAACATTTACCACAACATTTATGGAACATACTGTTTTCTCATCTAAGCAAGGATTTCAATCTATAATCATGTTTTATGTTGTCTCCACCCCAGCCTTTAGAGAATATCTCTGTTATATTTGAACCACTGCCACAAAAAAGATTAACATGTCACTGCACAGGTTGAAAGACATGGTAGTTGATGATACGTGTCTAGTTGGGTGCCTCCTCTCCATCCACGGAGTCCTCCAGAACAGATGAATCGTCACTACTGCCTGTTGGTAGGGAACCTCGTTTCGTGCCTGTCAGCCGTGGAAGCCCAATACCTGCACCTGCCCCACCACGCCTAAATAAGAAAAGCATGCCCATAATTAAGGTCTTCCCACAAACTTCATTTCAGGCTAACATTAAGATACATCATAAAACATGGTATTTTAAAGGTTTCTTTACTGTGTGACAACTGGTTCCAAGTTCCTAAAAATTAGAATCTCTTTAAACAGGCGATGAAGAAAGCAAATATTTAAATTTTCAGCCTACATCTGATTCAGACAGAAAATTAAGAATAGGGCAAACACTGAACTACGGCGCAGATTATAAAAATATACAAGAAAGTGATCTTAATGAATTGGCTGATATTGATGTAACTCATTCATTTCCATTGGTCCACAATAGGACTTGAATAATAAAAATTCCAGAGGAAGGAGTCAAACAAATTAACGTAACACTGACAAATTAAACAGGTATTCTTGTTCGTGTAACATAAAGTGGACTCCTGAAATACTAACAGGATCGAGTCTTGGAAAATTAAAATGCGGACGGATATTGCAGACTATGGGTGATTTAATAATAGTCATGTCAAGAACAAAACAGGGAAAACAAGTTCAGGACTAATTCAATTTCATTACAGGTATTCAAACCAATAACAAGATTACAGACAGTTGAAGTTAGAGAACCCTGATTGGAATCCTGAAGTATAAGGCAAGACTTAACGAGGAAAATAAGATTCAAACAATGGTTGGAATGAAAAGGATCACACTAGTGACAAA